GACTGCCCCCTTCCCGAGCAGCCTTTTTATAGGGCTGAGCCTGGCCCTGATTGGCTACCTCCAATCTTGGCTCTGATTGGCTCCCAATAAGCCCTTCTCTTATTGGCTACCCATCTGCGCAGGCTCTCTGGTCTACTACAGCCCACACTCTCAGGGAGTGGGGCAGTCCACCCCACTACAGTCAGACATACATACACAATGGCCAGTCCAGCGGAGTTGGTGTTTCATGACCTGCACTTCTATACTACTGATGTTGGCTGTAGAGAGAATGCTGATGTTAGTGTGTTGGTCTTCCCAGCTGATCTGAGAATCCTCCTGAGGCAGCGCTGTTGGAACCACTTGAGATGTCATCTGTAGGTTACCCAGGTCTCACACCCATAGAGAAGGGTGGGGATGACAACTACCTTGTAAACCAAGATCTTGGTGCCTGTTTGCAGATCCCTATAATTGAAGACTCGTTTGAGTAGTCTTCCAAAGGATGTGCTGGCATAGCGGATCCTGTATTCAATTTCTGTGTCAATGCTGGCTGTTTGGGAGAAGTGGCTGCCAAGGTATGGAGAATTTTCCAGGGGTTCCAGGGGTTCTCTGCTGATGGTGATTTGTGGTGTATGAAGGGTAGTTTGTGCAGGTGAGGACTGGTAGAATGCCTTGGTTTTCCTGATGTTGAGAGAGAGACCCAGGCTGTGATAGGCATCTGCAAAAAGATTTAGGGTACTTTGCAGGTTGGCCTCTGTATGTGCTAGAATGACGCAGTCATCTGCATACTGAAGGTCAGAGTGATGCCAATTCTTGTGATCTTAGATTTTGTTTGGAGATGTCAGAGATTGAGGAGTTGACCATCCATACGATACTCAGTCACGATTCCATCAGGAAGGTGGTCACAGATGAGAATCAGCATCAAGGCAAGGTAAATGGAGAAGAGTGTTGGAGCAATAACACAGCACTGCTTGACACCAGTGCGAATTGTGAATGGTTTGGTCTCTGAGCCGTTGCACAGAATAGTGGCAGTCATCCCATCATGGAGTAGTCTGATGATGGAAATGAATTTATGTGGACAGCCAAACGTACACAGCACCTTCCATAGGGCATCATGATTGATAGAGTCAAAGGCCTTGGTTAGATCGATGAATGCCATGAACAGTTCCTGGTGTTGCTCTCTGCACTTCTCCTGAATCTGTCGTGCCACAAAGATCAGGTCAGTTGTGCCTTGGGATGGCCTGAAAACACACTGTGATTCGGGGAGGAGTTCCTTGGCAAGGGGGAGAAGGTGGTTTAGTAGGATCCGGGCAAGGATCTTCC